GCCTGCCCCACCCCCCCAGGTTCTCACACTCACAGTGTTACTCCTTCCGCAAACCAGGCACCCCTCACCCTTGTCCACCTGCACAGGGTGCAGTTGTATTTTGACTCCTCCTCACCCCTATTACACCTTATTTGCTAGCCAATGTTTTTAAAATGTATTTTTCAAGAACTTGGCTCGACCATCAACTCCTCCAGGGAGCCTTCCATGATTGCCTTACTCAGCCCATCCTTCCACAGTGTGGTTTAGGTTCCCAGGTCTTATTCTCCCAGCGCTGTCGTGGGCTGACTCCCTACCCAGCTGACCTCTTTAAAAATGGGAACTGTGTGGAGAAATCTTTTCTCACAGTATTTTTTTCTCTTGTGCTTTGCTCTCTAACCTTTATTTTGACTTTTTTCATATCTTTTACCAGCTGAAGTTACCACCTTTCTACAGACTTCCTTTTTCTTTGCATCCCTTCATGTCCGGTCCGTTCCTATTGGCTGTGCTTGTTTTCTGGAACTCACCCATGGCTTCTCCTGAATTCCACTTCACACACACACACACACACACACACACACACACACACACACGCACATGTTTCATTTTCCAAGTCCTTGAGTAAGAAAACTAGGGGGAGAATAAAGGAAGGCATGCATTGCCAAGTTCTCTTTTACTCCTCCTTGGAATATTACTCTAGAATTCCTTTTCTCATAAAAACACAAGTTGATAGAAAACATCAGTGCCTGTGGTGATTTAAAAAATAAAGAAGAGAAGCAAGCTTCCTAAGTCTGTTGAAAGTAGCTTACGGAACACCATTACCCCATCGCAGAGTTGCGCGAACTGATGTCTTTTTCAGGACTGTGGCAGGCAGGTGCTCTCATCCGGGGACACTGTGTACTCTCACATATTTGTGAGGTTGCTCTTTCGTCATTGTCGTGATCATGCCTGCCCCAGTGGCTCTGGGAGGACCAGCTCAGGAGGCCTTTCGAACACATTGCAAATGGAACGTGAAAGCAAAAATGGGCCCGTTTAGATGCTCGAATCCACTTTCACCAAAAAAAAGTTCCCAATTTCCTCACCTCAACAGCAAAGCTAAGATTAGATATCCTGGGGGAAAGACTGAAGAAGGAAACAATCCTGTAAGTGAATGACCACACCCTCTTCTGTCTGATGAACCCAGAGGAGCTTCCAGAAGCTTCCAGGAGCTCCATAAACAGCACCTACAGCTGCCACCCATTCCTTCCTACTCAGAGCGAGGGTACCCGCCCATGCCCTGTGGCATTGCAGCTGAACTCCACACCTGCACGAATTGTCTGCTGCCCCCTCCCGCTTTGTCTCAGAGCGAAAAAAGACAAACCAAACCAAACTCATGCCAGTTGGGAAGCTAAGAAGCTGGGCTTCTCAGAAGAAGTCTAAAGAAACACAAAGCATTGGGACGTTGGACCCACGCTCAGCTTTTCTTTTGGAAGGTGAGGATGCTCTACCCTGCACCATCTGCCTCATGGAGTTACTCTGTAAAAGTTTCTTCCCCAAAAAGCACGCGTGGAAAAGTTCCAAAAACTCAGCTTCTTATCGCCAGTCATACCCCCAGGATCAACATACACAAGTTGTTCATACACAGATGTGAAGCCAACTTCTAGATACAAATTGAGAAATCAGGTCTGAAAAGACTGGAGACGTAATATATTTTGTAGAAGTCCCTGGCATGAGATATGTAATATGGCTAATTTTATTCGTCGTGTATTTAAGGAAAAAAAATCTTTTTAATGCTTGGCACTTCCTATAACCATTGATCTTTTAAAATCATTTTCCAATGGAAACATTTCTAACCTCTCTTTATTTACTGATCAGTGTTCCCCCGCAGTGGAAAAATGCTCTAGGAAGGTCATTCTGTAAAGGTTAGGAAGATAGGGGAATTGTAGTTTTTCACAGAACGACCTTTGTGGACCAGTTTTTGAAAAAGAATTTGCTCCGCTTTCCAAACACAGATGAGGGCCTGACCAGCCCTCGAGTTCAGCTGTGTAAACATCGAGCTCCCAGACTGCTTGGAAAGAAATATCAGAGCAAAACTTGAAACAACCAGCATAAAACCAGAATAATACAGTGATATTATTGATTGTTTCCCCATGCACTAACCTGTAACTTTCCGTCCAACAAGAAAGGAATAAGAGCAAAGATCATTTGATTTCTTCATTCCTATGCTGTGGGTCTAACGAACATTGTCGCAAGCAGTGTTTACTAGAGATATAATTTTTGACACGCTTTGACTCAGAAGCCTCTGGTTTCTGATCATCCCTGAATCTAGCAGTCTCCATTGACAACTGCATAGTATTTCATCTATATATACAAAAGCCTAAGCGACTTTTACTACCGGTTGACCGAACAACCGGTCCACCGGTTGCTGTGATGCGCACTGACCACCAGGGGCAGACACCCAACACAGGAGCTGCCCCCTGGTGGTCAGTGCACTCCCACAGCCAACCTCCTATGGCCAGCCAACCTCCCGCAGTCCCTCCCCCGGACTAGGCGAGAAGGCCCTGATCACCGGCCATGCCAAGAGACCCCACGCACGCACGAATTTGTGCACCGGGCTTCTAGCTTTGTAATAAACACCATGACATACCTACAACTTTGTACACAAGTGGGGAAAAACAGTCCTTGAGCCCTCTTTTAGCACAAACTGTAAACTTCACTGGCAAAACCACTTGTGTTGCTGACTTGATTGCTACTTCTAAATACATTCATTAATAGCTAGCTGCATTTTTAGGCCAACTGTATAAAATAATTGAGCTGAGTTGTTAATAGTAATAGGGTGTCAGTTTATTCACAGGTGTTGGGGCAAAGCTTATGAAATGTTCCACAGAGTTCAGGATTGATTTAATAATCATTTAAAATACCTACCCTTAGTTTTCCCCAGCGACTCCGTGTGTGAGAGCTCGGGCCCCTCCTGAGGAGAATGAATTGGCGGTGGCCCGTGCATGGGCGTGGGCCAAGCTCGCTGCTATCCTCTGCGCACGTGGAAAGCTAGCTGAGATGAGGGATGTGGCAGGTTTGATCCAACTTCGCACAGGAGGAAATGATTCAAAACCACTTCACAGGCTGCTCCTGAGGAATCAGCATTTCAGCTTTTTTCCTGGACACTTAGTCTACGTTTGAATTTGTCATCAGCTATTAACACTAACTTAGAGTCCAAGCTGAAATCTGTCAAAGACAGAACAATCGGAGAATGAGCCAGACTGAAGTGTGCGAGGGATCTTTTCCATCCCCATGGATGCTCTGTGTGGGAGAGCAATGGGTATGGTCATGGCTTGTTTGCTGCCTTTCTTGTTTTTAATGCCAGAAGAGGAAAGAAAAGGGCAGCATCTTTTCTGAGAATTTTATTAACTTATGTTTTAAAAACACCTTTGCTATTTGGTATATTAATCAAGTTCCAGGGTCAACCTGATGCTGCCAACAGAAATATACATGAAGCTATTGTGAAAATAATTCCTTACATTTCCCTAATATAATTATCTAATAACTTCAAAAACAGGGTAAATGTTGACATTAAAATTTTATCCTCCTTGCCCAGCTGGCGCGGCTCAGTGGTTGAGCATCTGCCTATGAACCAGGAGGTCACGGTTCAATTCCTGGTCAGGGCACATGCCCAGGTTGCAGGCTCAACCCCCAGTAGGGGGCGCGCGGGAGGCAGCCAATTAGTGATTCTCTCTCATCATTGATGTTTCTAACTCTCTCTCGCTCTCCCTTCCTCTCTGAAATCAATAAAAATACATATTTATTAAGAAAAGATGTCTTATCCTCACTGGCAAATGTTTTCCCTTTGTCCCTACAGTTTGGGTCCAAGAATCTGGAAACAGCAGCATTCTCATGAAAAAAAAAATCATTAGAATTACCTAAGTAGTTGTGATGGTGTTAGTCAATTTCTTATCTGATATATTATAAAATAAAAGTGGAACAAATTTTAATTGGACCATAGACAGTAATTTGAACTTCATGGCATTTGGTAGGGAAGAGATTAGATTGCTTGCCAAGTCCAGTCACAAAATATTGATCATTTCTTAAGAGCACAAACTTGTTCATAGACTTCAAATCTGATGGGATGAAATCTTGTCCGGTATTATCTAAAAACAGGCGGGTTATGTTCTCATCGTGTGTGTCCTATCACATCACTCTGTCTTTATCACACAGGGTTAAGCTGAGTCTGTGAGAACGCATTTTCCTCTAGGACACGCTGGGGCAGGGAGGGACTAGACCCAGCCTTGAAATTTACCTTGAGGCTTATCCAACATTCACTATTTCATTCAAAGCCTTGTATTTGCAGCAATTTAAGTAGATTTTCAGTCATGAAAGGTTATTTTATAGATTCTAGGTTTCTGCAGTTTTTTGTTGTTGTTTTTTCTAGTTACCATCTGCTTTGTTCTATTCAGAAAAGATCAGGGGCATGGTTGATTCAAATAACTATGGGTTAAATATTATGTGTGGCCCTACATCTCCCGTCAAGTGTTGGGGGAAATTTTCACTGATTTAAGTAGGTGTTATAGCTCAGTAAGGAATGGGCCTATACTTGGCAAGAAAGCAAGTATGGAAACTTCACTCACAGCCAAATGCACAAGAATAGAGTCATTGGTTAATGTAAAAGGAAATGGTTTTGACAGATTTGCACTCTTGGGGGGGGGGTGGGGACGGGGGAGGGGTTAGAAATCCACCAAAATTTGGGATTCAAGTGCATGTGTATCTTGCTGTGGGAGAATCTGACCTAAAAGTGGGAAGCAGCTTTCTGTCCATTAAACACTATTATTATCCCATCCGGTCTTTGTTTTCACCGTGGCTTCGACTCTGTTGTGAGAGCGAGAGATCCGATGTGTCCAGTCAACCCTCCTTTTCCTTTGCGCTCCCTGTTTAGACGTGGAAGTAGAGCAAAGCAGGGAAGAGAAGAAAGAATGCTACTACAACCTCAACGACGCCAGTCTCTGCGACAATGTGCTGGCCCCCAACGTCACCAAGCAAGAGTGCTGCTGCACCTCCGGGGCCGGGTGGGGTGACAACTGTGAGATCTTCCCCTGCCCGGTCTTGGGGACTGGTAAGCATTGGCTGAGAGGAGGTGTCGCCCTTGCGTTTGGTCATGTGGTGGCGGGGTGTTCCCATTCTGGTTTGAATGAGACGCTGGCATTCACTGGGAGCTGCCCGACTGGAATTCAAGTGAGGCTACCTTAGAGCGCGTTCCATTCCGAGCTGGAAAAATCACCTCAGTATTGCATTCCTAAAGTTCTTTCCATCATCGAATTTACGGTTTCAGGGAGGTTCAGTATTGTATTTGGCAGGAAGAGAATTCCATGTTACCCCATTTTTTTAAATGGAAACCAAATCTTTTTTTATCTATAACAACGACATAGCATGACCCATACCTAGCGATTACATGTTTAAGCTAAGATTTTGCTTAATGGATTCCTGTTAAAACTTTAAAATACTGGAGACCACAGTAATGGAGAAGTAAGTCATAACCCCAAGTAACAACATGAGTAGGTAAAATATGGGTGAGCTAGGAAGGTTTTATAAAAATAATTACAGGTAAGCCTCTGAAGTCATTGGTCTTATTTGCACCTAATGCATAGTTTTTGAGATTGTACTGAATTTACTTGTCTGAAGTAGATGCCAAAATTTGTTTTAAAGTTACTGAGTCCTGGGGTCAGATGGGGGTTGAGGGAGGGAGCTAAAGGGTCGGGAAGTGGGGGATAGCTGTAATATTGTCAACAATAAAAAAAATCATAATAAGATAAAATACACATTTATGGAAGATGTTGATGTTTTTCTCTTTCACCTTTTTTTCTTTGCCTCTCCTGAAATCAGCCGAATTCACGGAAATGTGTCCTAGAGGGAAGGGTTTTGTCCCCACTGGAGAATCCTCTTATGAAGCTGGTGAAAAGGACTATAAAGGTCAGAATCAAGCAGAACTGAATTTACAATGTGTGTGCATATCAGACACTCAAATAAAAGCGTGGCTGGGTTAGACAGAAGTAGAGTTCTTTTGAGCCAGGGAAACTGATTATTCGGCCACTGGAAGGAACCCCTGTGGACTCTGGGCAGCGCTGTGCGTGGCCTGGGAGTTAGAACTTCAGGCACTTAACCTTCTGAGTTCCCAGCTCTGGGACAGGAATGATGTCTCAAAAGTTGTTGCCCAACTTGTGTGTCTCAGTGGTTGAGTGTCAACCTCTGAACCAGGAGGTCATGGTTTGATTCCTGGTCAGAGCACATGCCTGGGTTTCAGGCTCGGTCTCCCGTCGGGGGCAGGCAGGAGGCAGCCGAACAATGATTCTCTCTCATCATTGATGTTTCTATCTCTCTCCCTCTCGCTTCCTCTCTGAAATCAATAAAAAATATATTTTTAAAAAAGTGTCATGAGGACTAGATGAGATAATATATGTCAAGGTGTGCCTAACGCAGAATTCTGTACTTAATAAATTTATTCTTTTATTCCAGAAGCATATTAGAAACCTCTTGTTAAGACTATAAATTTGTCATCACGTTGGTCTTACATGATCATCAGTAAAGCTAGCATTCTTGCTTTTTTAGAACTCGTCCTACTCTTGTTAGGACCTTTTACGTATGGCCACAGATTCGTAATCAGGAATGGAAAAGAAGAAAGCAAAAGTAGATGTGTTTTATATATTCAGTGCTATTCATCTATAATTCTAAATTAAATGTGCAGCCTTTTTATTTGGGTGAAATTTAAACCACATGTATGAGTATTTCCTCATTAACCACTCACTTTTGACATTTCCATGATAGAGATATTAAGTCCTTTTATAGACAAAGTGACTTTTTTCCTGTAAAATTTAATATTGAAAATTGCTACATGGATGGAAAACATTTTTTATTCATCTTTTTGGAAAAATCGTGTTTTAATAATTTGGTATAATTCAGTAGCTGGGTAAGAAATTCCATATGTGTTTTTTAAATACATCTATGTTTAGTCCAATTAAATACCAAGACTCGGTAGGTGATATGTGTTTAATGGTTTTTCAAGTTCACAAATATTAAATATGTTTTTGCCCGGATGTAGTTAAATCTCACTCTATATTGTGAGATGAAGCCCTGAATTCACCACAAAGTCATCCCCTCTTTTATAGAAAAATAAGTTCCTCCTCTCCCTATCTTTAGCAGCACTGGAAATGATTGGAAGAATATTAGGTTCAGATCTAAACAGCCATATATTTTGGACTTGGTTTTGCCATTTTCCAGCTGTTTAACTTGGACCAATTCATCTCCAGTTTTTTGTTGTTGTTCTTTTTTAGAGAGAGTGGAAGAAAGGGAGGGATGGAGATGGAGAGAAAAAGAAAGAGAGAGAAACATGGATGTGAGAGAGGCACATCCACTGGTTCCCTCCAACACTTGCCCTGACCAGGCCAGGCCAGGGATAGAACCTGCAACCCAGGTGCATGCCCTTGACAGGGAATCGAACCTGAGACCCCTTGATGTATGGGCCAATGCTCTACCACTGAGCCACACTAGCCAGGGCTGGAATCTCCAGTTTTAAAAATGAGGACTAGAGGGTATTAGCTCTAAAGTGTAAGAACTGATGGTAATAATAATAATAATAATAATAATAGAAGTAATAAGTAACACTTTTTGCGAGTACTAGTATACTGAATTCTCCACGTGGATTCTCTATCGCTTAATCCTTCCAATCCTATCAAATAGATGTTTCTATTATCTCTAATTTACCACTGAGTGTCCTGAGGACTCTAAATTCTGTGGGGGAATGGGTCTGCCAACACCCTTAGCAGCTTGTGCCTTTATTAGCTTATCGTCCCCAAGAACGAAGACTTTTATAAAATTCCATCAAACTCTTTTCAGGAGTTTTCATCGTCTCAGCTAATTAAGGGGCCGAAATATGTATTTATAGGAAGGCACATGTCTTCAAAGGCATGTCCTTTAGAGAACATTGCTGGTGCCACTGTAGAATTTCATAGACTGTTCCATCAAATACAAGGGAGCAGCCCAGAAACCATCTTCACAGATAGACCTTCCCTACTGATATTTCAGACCTTGTTCTTTAAATATCACAGACAACCCTGATTATGTTTCCACCTCTGTGAATTAGCCCCAACTTCAAGAATTTTGTGTTGCTGTGTCTTTAAGAATCTTTGGCATAGAAATGTAAAAATATCTAGCGTGAAGCTCAGGATTAGATGCTTCTTCTTGACTGAAAGACCAGAGGCAACTCCTCTGTTTGTTGCTCCATTTCTCACCCTTCCCGCCCCCTCATAGATGCGGATGAATGCCTGCTTTTTGGACAAGAAATCTGCAAAAATGGCTTCTGCTTGAACACTCAGCCTGGGTATGAATGCTACTGTAAGCAAGGGACATACTACGATCCTGTCAAATTGCAGTGCTTTGGTGAGTTTTAAGAGAATAGAGGGTGCTGTGAACATATACAGATGGAAAAAAAAAAATAAGTCATGCTGTGGAGTACAAAACCAATTTCTTTGCATCCAAATCATGTGTTGCGAAGGTGTGTAAATGTTTTATGGATCTTTTTCGTGAGCAAGGTTTAAGAAAAGAAAAAGCTTCTATATGCTGCTGTTGGACTAGATTTCAAACGAAGAGTTAATATTCAATGTGGAATTATAATTCAGGTCACTGGTTTGAGTGGAGTGTTCTTTTGGTCTGGGGAACCTCCTGCTTCATCACTCATCCCATTTTAAAATGCTGACCCTGACTTTGAAGCTTAAGCAGAAAACCATGTACACTAGGCCGGAAAACACAGCAAAAGGAAATAACTGTGCACTATCCTAAAGAGGCATTTTACCTTAAATGTCTAAGCATTTTCTGCTCCTAAATGTTTCCTTTCCTTGTGTAATGTCATCATCAGCAGGGCAACATTATTTCCCCAGTCAACACAATTTCACAGTTTTATAGTCAGACTCCTTTGGATAGTGATGCGTAGTGAATGAAATTGTGGCAGCCCCTGGAATCTGGACTTAGTTTGGGTAAGTGTATGAAACACAACCGATCACTGGTTTTTCTTTAACAGTTTTTTTTTTCTTTCAGATATGGATGAGTGTCAAGACCCCAACAGTTGCATCGATGGCCAGTGCATTAACACAGAAGGCTCTTATAACTGCTTCTGTACACATCCAATGGTCCTAGATGCTTCAGAAAAGAGATGTGTACGACCATCTGAATCACACGGTACGTTTGGATGGGGGATGCAAGTCTGTGTCCGAACAAATGTCATAAGGTTTTCTGACTAAAATGTAAGCCATTGGAAAAGAGAAAAA